TTTTTAAAAATTGTTGCTATCGTGTATCCTTTAGTCATTCCACCCAGGGAGGAATGGTTTAAATAAATTGTTTTCAAGACCAAAATTAAAGGGAGTGTATTATGTGAAATTGATTTTAAGCTGCATGTTATTTTATAATGGTATTCTCTCATGATATGTTACCTGAAATGTTGATTCTTTCATGGACATTTGAGAACTCCTTGAATCTCTAATGGCACCCATTTGGGGTTGTCTAAAAAGGCGCCACCTATTTCCATTAAGCTCCTTCTTGGGGCTGCAGTCCGAGCTTCCCCCCCACAGAGTTCCCTTCCCACATGCGCTACCTCCTCAGCTCCCTCAGACTAGCAGCAGCAGTAACTACCAAACTCCGGGAAGAACTGTGCATCTGCTGAGCTTATCACACAAATTACTTCTCAGTCCAACACTCATCGTAATGGAAATGCATTCTTGTGATGATATGCTGAGGTAAGAGTGTCAGATAGAGTATGAACTTCTTAAAGTGACAGAGGCCCAATTTCAAGGTATCAAATTGTGAGGTTAAATTTCTTTTAAGTTATGTTTGATATATGCATCATTTTCATAACAACTGAATGTGATAGTTACGCGACTGTGCTATAAGATGGTACTTTGTGCCTGAAAAATACTTAATACTGCATCTGTAATACACCTTGAACAGGGACAGTAACCTTTTGACCTGAACTGTACATGTTATAACTCAAGTATTGCATAAACCTTCTGATAGTGTTCTCCTTCTACGCTTAACATGAGCACCAAACTCTAATATCACTTATAGCTGCTGTTAATTGTGAAACTTTGGAATTTCAGGCTTTCCGATGAGTCATTGCTTTTAGCTGCCCCCCTGCTGCTACAAATCCACACACAAATCCACACAGCACATACACACCACAAAAAAATATACTTTCAAGCTTATAGTATTGGGACCCACATCCAGGAAATATTTTGTGGCTTCCAAACCAAACCAATTCAGCCACACTGGAAAATGTATAGGAAAGAAACCTTGAGTCTGAAACCCATGCACTTCTGAAACAGACTCATAATTGTTAGCTTTCCAAAATCCTGAATGTCTTCCAAATATTTGTTTCAAGTTTTGGATTTCCTGTACAATATCTGTCCAAGTTGTTGCAGAGTAATCCACTGCCAAAACAATGAGGTCATGAGCGTGTGAGTATGAGATGTAATACCTCCAATGTGTGAATAACAGTGCTCAGTATCTTAAGAACTTAGATAACTGTACTTTTATAATCTTTGAGGCTGGCTTTTAATGAAGTTACAAGTGTATCCAGCTGAGGCTCTCTTACTTGCAGTGTGCCACATAATGAGACTGAAGATACAAGGCACTTAGTCCTTGGAATAGTAAGAATAGAGATAATGTTGTTAAAGTGTGTATTTTAGGTCAAACAATGACTCTCTATGCATTTTGTTTGAATGAAAATGTAAAAAAAGAAGTAACAAGATGTCTAAAGGAAGATGTCAGGTGACGTCTCAAGCTGGCTGAAAAAATAAACAGACCAAGTCTTTGCACATAATTACGGTCAAAAAAATAAATAAATAAATAAAAATAAATAACAGGTCAATGTTTGCATATAGTTTTCTGAGCTAAAAACAGTCAAGGGATGGCTGACTCAGAATAGACATAAAAGATATAACCATGAAGATTCAGAGTTTGGAGATTATTTTTTATTAAACTGACCAGGTAGTCAGGGCTCACAAAAAAAAAAAAAAAAAAAAAAAAAAAACGTCCCTTGCAAAAGCTGAGTTACTTCCCTCTCAAGGCAAATTAAAATAGATGCCACCAATGGTCTATAAAATGTATCCCATCAATAAGACATCACTCTAAGCAAAGTATGAGCATAATGCAGCCACAACCAGGCTGGATTTTTGCAGAAATTCTAACAGAGGAGTAAAAGAAATAATCAGAAGAATTATCCAAGAGCCAAGAATTAGTGTTAGAGAACATGAGATAAGTCTGAACGAGCAAGTAAAAATTATAAGGAATGCTCTCCACTAAACAGAAATTTATGCATACTCACTGCACAATACTCCACTAGTGAAGAAAAAGCACACTGATACTCATTTTCAAAGTGGTTGCAAATGGGCTGACTACCACCAAATATCTAAGAGTTGCACAAGACATTTTGTGTAAAAGAATGCGTCCAAGGTCTTATTACAAAAAAGGCTTTCTTCTTAATATTGAATAAATGTCAGGTGCTATGCTCATTTCCTACTCTTTCATCTTCATCAAAATAAATACATAGACTTACACAGCAACAAGTGCTTGTCAAACATTAGCATACAATCCAGCCTCGAGAGCAAGAGAATCCCACACCTTGTTCTAAAGCAAACAACAGTGGTGTGGACACTTGGCCAGATTTTCACAGGGTGGACCATAAAGGTTTTAAGCTTAAAATATAACATCTACAGTCAACATAACACCTTAATTTATTTTTCATTTTGTATGGTGGGCCCTGAATGTCGAAAAAAAGAAAAAAAAAAAAACTCCCTTTCCCAAAGTAAACAGTCTATGCAGATTGTCTGCTCATCCTGACACAGCATTTATCTCTTCAGCACCCTTAATTTCCATACTTGTAAAACCTGTTCAACCATCCACGTGTCATGAATTCAAACAAAAAATCAATAGTCAAACACAGTCTAGTCACGCATCATGCAACTTTCCTGAATGTCCTCCAATTGAGGATAGTCAGAAAACAACAGCTGTGCTGTTTTTACCAACACAAGTGTTGTTGTCAAATGTTTTTCTACAGTAAATGGAAGACTCACCTGAGTTGCACTAGGTTTTGTCCAAGGCAGTAAACATTTAGAGATGGAGCCGGAAACAGTTGGAGGTAGAAGTTCAGGAAAGGGGTTTGGAACAGAGGAAGATGAAGAGTCCTCCCCCTCTCTAACATTCCTAGAGAATCATCAACACAGACACAAGTAATATAAGTGAAAGTGATTATAAATGAAACAAATTCAGGCAGGTCAGTTCTGAAAGGCAAACAGATTTTAGAGCCATAACACCTATAAATGTTTAAGAATAAAACATATACACAGCATATGTGTATGCGTTTAAAACCCCTTTTCGAAAACTAAAAGTCAGTGTAGCTACCATCATTACTGTTGTTGAACAGACATGAGCTGTTTTCTTGATAAAAACAAGTAGCTGGGTATTGATGCGTCAAAGGATAGAGAGAGCACCCACACTCACGCAAAGGAGCTGTGTGCGAAAAGAGGCCTGGATTCAAATTAAAAAAAGAATTAACTCTAATTCCCAACTAAAAACAGTGTCACCTGTTTAAGACACTACCTGAAAACAAATCAGTCTCTTCACTTGCTGTTCAGTTTGGTTTGTATGAGAATAATGCAGAACTATCTCGCTGGGCTTTAAGTTGATAAAACGTTTCGGCACCAAACATCTCACTATAGACGAAATGAAAAATAATAAATGCCTATAAATATTTAACGTTTGGATCACTCCAACTTTCACAAGTCTTACCTAATCAGTCTCTGGAGAGCCTTGTCCTTGGGTAGTTTCAAAGTAATATGGTATTTTTTTCCAAAACATGTCAATGCTACTACCTCACTGGCAGCATCTATCTTGATTTCCTCACCCTCACTTGAAAAACAGCCAATGAAGTCTTCATCATATGAGATGACATTCCTTCACAGATACACTTTTTATTTTTTATTTATTATTTTATTTTTTTCCAGTCTGCCGACAATGGTATGGCAGTGAAGTTTGACATCCTGTTCCAGACTTGACATCATCACCCTCTGGCAACTTTCATCTGTTCTTTTCAACATCTTTCTTCTTTTTTTTTTTTTTTTGGGCTTTTTAAATCTATTTCTTGATGTCAAACACAGAAATGAATACAATCATTACAGGCTACAAACCCAACCACAATTGAGAGGGAAATTATCTTAAAAACAGCATCTATACCCTTGAAGAAGTGGGGCGGGGGTGGGAGGTTGTTATTACACTTTTTGCCTGCACGTCAGCGCACGCAGGGCCCTTGTACTGATTCTGCTGCTGATCTTGCAGACAATGGGTATGTAGGACTTGATAAACGGGCCTCTCTTTGCACTAACTCCTCCTGCATTTAGCTACCTGTTGACTCACTTACCACATTCACCGACAAGCTTTAGATAAGAGTAGAGAGAAACAGCCCCTGATTCCTTCACTGTATTGCATTTTCGGTGCTTCAACATTTGGAAGAGGTGAGCAATGCATGTTGAAAAGAAAGTACTGTAAATAAAGTTTTCTTTTAACTCTCAAAATAATTCATTATTATATTTGGAAACAAGTTTGTTAGTGACTTGAATGAATGGTTAACCTCAACTTAAAAACTCAATCAACTGGTCTTTAGGGTATTGCTAAGCAACACTGCAGCTCTTTTTCTGGCTCGTACATATGCAAACACTGTGCTATTTAAATGCAGGGCTGGAAACATTGTAAAATATGTTGCACAAAGTTCTTCTTTTAGGTAGATGAATTTTTAATCATGTATATTGTTGCAAGCAGACCTGTACCATTCAGTTTATGTAAGCAAAAGTGAGCTATACCTGTTTCCCTTGCAAAACTTGTTCCTAGTCCTCTGAGCATTTGGAGTGAGTGAAGGACCTTCCAGTGGGATGATTGCTGGCCTGGGGAAGACTCTCTCATTACCCTTGCCACTGTGAAAATTCTCTGCTTTCTGTCCGAGTCCTCCAGAAGTGTGTATTTTGTCCAGTGTCTTATTCATAGCACTTGTGTGGGTTGGCTAAATCCAAGGCATCATCTGAAGGAAACAGGAGAGACGAGCTGTTGGACGGGAGACTGTGCCCAGTTTCAGCAGGCTGCCTGGCGGGGCTCTTCTGCTTACAGCTCAGCAGCACACACGCACACACGCACACAGTAACACACAAGTTTCTCTGGCTCATCTGCTGCCCACAGGGCTGGCCCAGTGGGGCAAAACGATCCCTCCTACCCAAACATGATCCACCACAATAAAGATATTTTTGACGCAATCATCGTCAAAACAGCCTTATTTGGATTAAGTTGATTAATAATCAGGGTTTTTTTTTTTTTTTTTTTTTTTTTAATTCCTGATTATTTTACATTGAGATAAATTTTCAAACTAAATGTCAGGACATATGTGCACACAAAGACCTTTTAAACAATTGGGTTGGTAATGAGTCCAGGGAGGCTATAAAACTAACTGTTCTTATGGACTTTGGACAGGGTACACACTTTAGAATTACTCCACTGCAAAGGGCCTGCGGTTGTAAAGAGTAGCTCGTCCAGCAGACTGGTTGCACTGCGGGCTGTGTCACTCAGTGACAGGCTCCACGTGGGGGATGGTTAGGAAGATAACATCGTCCTGAAAGGTAATGTGTAACAGACCCTGACAAAGGGAGATTTAGACCAAGAGCCAGCAAAGAGTTAAAGCAATAACTTTTTTTTTAACCTACAACAGGGCTTTAATAAACAGCAAGCTGAAAGCTATGCAGCAAATCAAAGCATGAAAGGGTACAAACAACTGTTTCTAAAAAGAAAGAAGACATTTTATTGGAATTATCTGTGCAACAAAGGCTGCCTTTGAATACTTTACATGTAAGAGGTCTCCCACATGTGGCTATTTAGACTCTCAGCTCTGGCTCTTAATAGCTGTGGCCTAAACGCTAAAGAAACTGATTAATGTCTTAATTGCAAAAAATAGTAGTTTCAGCTGTTTCCTTTCAATATACTGACAATAAAAAAAGCTATGTCATTTAAACAATCAGGTTGCATTTGTGGCTGGGTAGGATGCAAATAAAAAAAGATATTAGAAGAAAAAAGAAATATTAGCACCTGATGAAAGTTGAAAACTGGAGACCATGTAACAGCCTCACAGTCTGATAATGACAGTATTGAATCTGCCTCCGAAAATTAAATTGCATCGTAAGAGATTTCGTTTGCAGTTTAAAGTCCACACAAAAATTACATCCAACTTTGTGGCTGCACTGTTAGGACTCTTTCAACTTCATTGTGTTTTGCAAAAAAAAATAAAAAAATGGTTGCATTGTCAATATATAGGTCTGTTTTACATCATACAAAATATTTAGTTTTGTTTGACATTTTGAAGTTTCTCAAATTGATTCAAAACAATTTTGTCCAAACAGAATTTGTTTTTAAAACTATTGTGGGTTACAAAAACTGGCACATTCAATCTACTTTTGTTATGAACATTCCCATGAGCCTACAGTCCTTTTTTTTTTTTTCTTTTTTCAAAGATAATGTTAAAAGTGGTCCAATCTAGGTTATTTAATCTCAGACAGTTGGCCAAGGTAAAGTCATATATTCTGGCTAATCTGTCTTCTGCAGGTTGAACTACTGCAACTCCTTGTATTTTGACCTGGACAAGACCTCCATTCATCATCTCTAGTTAGTCCAAATTGCTACTGCTCGTCTGCTGACTGGTAGAAAGCAAAATACGCTCAGAGTTGACTTCTCCTCACTGGCTCCCTGTCAGTTTCAGAATGCAATTTAGAATTTTACCTTCCATTTTGAAATCATTGCATGGTCTCGCTCCCTCCTACTTGTCTGAGCTACTCTCTATTCATGCCCCAATTAAAGCCATGAGGTCTACTGCACCAATATTGCTTTCTAGTCCTCAGTCTTAACTCACATCTGGTGGAGACGAAGGCTCCAGACTATGGAATAACCTGTCCCTTAATATTAAGTCAGCACAAACTCTGGAGCACTTTCAATCCCCTTTAAACCGGCTTTTAGCATACGTTGATCCAAATGGTTTGTTTTTAATCATACTAACAGTCTTATTTTAACCGTCTTTAGAAGTTTTCTCCATCTTATGTTTGGTTTTTGATTCTTTTATGCCCGTTAATGTTTTGGTTGTTCTTCCTTGTAAAGCACATTGTGCAGCAGGAAACATGCTATAGCTATAAATAAATTTGACCTTGACAGCTAAAGTTAAATCATTTCTTTAAAGTCACCAGCAAAGCTTTTCACCAAGAATAAGCTAATAAACATTAGCAAAAATTGTTTAAATCCTTTACCTTTATGCATCTTTAACTGAGGTTTCAGTTCAAGACTCATGCTTCTTATTGCTGTTGCAGTGAGAACTGAGACTGGGTTCACCCTACAGCAACACGCTCTTGGCTCACACACACACACACACATACAAGGATCCAGTTTTACCTGTTGTGAACGACCGCTTTTATTCTGAAGGATCCAATTTCAGGAGCTTGTGCAGGGAGACAATACAGACAAGTGGCTTGGTAAAAGCTTTAATCATAGCAACACTCACCAAACAAGAACAAGTACAAATGTACATGGCAGTGCTCTCCTGAATCCACTGGAATGGAAACTAAAACTTAAATATGGAAACATTTACTGAAAGCGAGACCCGATCCGTCTTACACATCCCATATTATTTAGATCATACATTTCCTTAATAAATCCAATAATATTATTGCTCTGGGAATCACTAATAATTTATAGGATTATTTAACATCACTGATCACAACTCTTTGCATTAAATGCATAAATGTTGTCGCATAAAAGAAGCCAAAAATAGTCTAAAATAAAAAGAATGATATAACAAAATTAATCATTAAAATCCAAAGGTTTATGAAGGCTGGCGAAGACCATGGAAACATGTTTGAAAAGAAAATCGCTTCTTCGCTCATACCACAGGATGAAGACTTCTAGAGAAAAATGAAAACAAGGTTAGCCGCTCCTAAAAGAAGAGTATTGAGCACACATTGTGGAAATGGATAATATTATATTGTCTGGAGGTGGATTTTACTTACGGTGAAAAAAATAAAATAAAATAAAAAATTCTGTAGAAATTACAGCACAGCTACAGTCCAGTCTCTTTTGCCATTTGAGTAACCTCTTCACCCTGCTGGATGGAGAGAAGAGGGAGTTTATGTTAAACGGAAGGCTGCTTAAAGTCACGGGGTCAAATAAAACATATTTACTATATGTAGAAATCATAAAATATGAAAAAAAAAGTAGAAACCCTCCAGTAAATCTGAAATGGGGGGGGGGGATGGACAGAAGGATCACAGTTTATCAAACTCTTTTCCTACGGTTTTCGAAAGAGAACCAGAATCAGTAATTTATAATGAGTGCAGAGAACCCCTATAGTTATCTCTATGGCAACTTGTAAAAGTATTCACATCCCCCTGACTGTCACAACATTTGTCCCATTTGAACCATAAGCTTTGCACAAGAGATTGATATTTTCCACCACGTCTTCCTCGCAGAGCAGCTTAAATCGAGTCCGATTGGATGGAGAACATCAGGACAGGAATTTTTAAGTCTTAATTCTGGCCACCACCATGTTTTATTATAGAGACCGAGTGTTCAGGAGGATGTGAAGTCTTAGTTTCTACCACATAGCATTTTGCGTCTATAACAGGCAAGAAAAAAAAAAAAAGTCACATTTCAGTTTAATTTTACCAACGGATCTTTTTCCACATGTTTTGCTTTACATGTCTTATGGATTTCTTTCAAATACATATTTTTTGCCACTTTTCTACCAAGATCAATTTTAAACAGCTGTTCCACGACAGACTCTTCAGCTGCTCTTGGTAACTGCTCTATGTGACTAATGAAGAAAGTAGTTTTGGAATAAAAGGGGTGTAAATACAAATGCTCAACACACTTTTCAGATCTTTACTTCTAATATATATATATATATATATATATTTTTTTAACATACCAAGACTAATTTTCCTTTCTCTTCATAGATAAATCAACATAACATTGTGTTGGTTTATTATAAAATAATAATAAAAAAAGCCCTGAAGTTTGTGGCGCAACAGTGACAAAATATAAAGTTAAAGGGGTGTGAATACTTTTGAAAGGTACTATATTTCAATCCTCTGCTTCAGGACCAACCTTGAGTTCAGATAAGCCCTTTGACTGGATGACTGATGAGGGACTTGTAATTGGAGAAACAGGGGGCGAAACCTGGGAAGGAGGTGATTTTGGGCCGTGGGACAGAGACTGGCTTCTTTTCACAGCAGAGGACACAGCCTGGGCGAAGCGGGACAGCGTTGAAGGAGCAAACGGTCTAGGAGCTGCAAAGCTCCTCAATTTTTCCAAGCTTAACCTAGCACCCAGCTCTCTTGACGGCAGACTGCTTTGCCTCGTCACTCCCACAGAGGCCACATTCTTGTCATCCTGCTTCGGACTAAGCTGAACTCCAGCGGCCTCTGCCGTCTCCTTTTGACACTGTACAGGGGGTGAAGGAGGAGCAAGAGGCGGTGGAGGTGGAGAGGGCAGGCCAGCTCTATCTGGACTCCCTCGAGTTTCCTTGAGGCCAGAGGCAGGAGTGGCACCAAGACTTTTCTCAGCAGCTGAAGTTACATAAAATCCAGGTGTTTTTTTGTGCTGTGCCAAGCGGAAAGAAGCAGGCTTAGGTTTGGTTGCGGGTGGAATTTTCACGTCCTTGACCTCCGTCGGCGAACCTGCTTGGGAAGCTTCATTAGCAGAGGAGATCTTGTCTGTGATCTGGACAGTCACGGGTGGTGAGGGAGGAGGAGGAGAAGGAGGAGGTTCAGGTGTGCTTCCATTTACAGTGTTTTGCAGTGTAGTAGTACTAAAAGTAGTAGTGGTATTAATTGTGCTAGACAGTGAGTCATCCCTGGGTAAGTTGGAGTTTAGTTCAGTTTTCTCTCTTAAAACTACAGTCTGTCCCTGGTCCCCTTTCAAACCAGGAGAAACGGAATCAAGTTCTTGTCCTGGAGATTCTCGAGGCGCTTCCAGTGTCAGTGCAACTTCAAAGTATCTGTGTTTCTCAAGAGATTTTTGAGGCACGATCGTGTAGGTCGTCATCCCGACTTTAGGGATGTAATCTCTCGTCAGCTCATTCGAAGGCTTCGGCTTTAGCTCAGGGTCTGCTGCATGCATAAACGATGCTTTCTTTGGGGCTGGAACGCCCGGCTTTTTTTCGTCGCACGGAGAGGTTGAGGAAGTGTGGAGCGATGCGCCTTCGGAGGGCTCAGACGGTTCCAGCTCTTCTGTTGAAGTGGACATATCTTTTTTCTCTGCTGGCAATAAGGTGACTGGAGCAGTCGATAAAGAGACTTTGTCCACATGTTGCTGAGGAGGCCCAGAGAGTCCCGTGGAATCCGTTTTCGCCGGAGCATCTTTTTCAGCGGGACACTGCGTGCTGGTGGTCACTGAACTCGCCGACCCATCGGGCAGCTCTCGAGGGGGTTCTGGGTTTGGGTCACTGGACGCCTGAACTTCTGCATCCTTTTTTACAGAAGGAAGTAAGCCGCTCTCATTGCCCTCAGCTTTCGGCTCTTTGCAGACGGGCTGTGGGTGAACATCTTCAACTTGAACTGCAACGTTATCTGCAGGAGAAAAAAAATAATAAAACATCTGTTACGAAAAATGAATGTATTTTTATTTAAAAAAAAAGGACAAGAGGCTAAAATTGTACATCTTTCACTGCCGAAGCATAATTTTACACTGAAAGAAATATGGCCTTTAAGTGTGTACTCAGACAAAAAAAAAAATCTTACGTTAAGAAATGTCTTTGTAGCCATTATACCCAAACTACCACTGAAAAAGTCAGTAAAAAAAAATAAAAAAAATAAATAAATTGCTGAGTTAGTCAAAAGGTAAAAGTAAAAATGCATCAGGCACATTCATTGACAAAGGAATCATTAAGAGTACCAAGAACTTCGCCATAGTAAATTTGTTTTATATACAAACAGTTTTACCTATGCTAAATAACTGTAATTAAAAGTTGGATTCTCTGAAGGTTATGATGGTGCTACGCCAAAAAATAAATAAGTAAATTTTACAGCTTAACATCTTTATCCGATTCCCATTAAACATGCCCAGCACTCTAAAAGACAAAGATCAATGCTGTTGGAGAAAGTGCTTACCAGTGGTAGTGGGTTCAAATGAGTTTGTGTCATTACTTTTAACACCCTGAGCTGCAGAATTATTTACAGTGCTGTCCACTCGTCTGGGAGGAAAAAAAGAGGTTAAAATAAGAAAAAATAAAAAATAAAAAAAAAAACAGTTGTAAATCATAATGATGAAAACATAGCACAGCCTTATGTAGTGTCGCGAGAGTTCGTACTTGCCATCTGAGGATAGATCAAGACACTGATCTTCCCCACCCGCCTCCACTGTACTCCCACTCTCAGCATCTGGAGAAGGTGAGAGGAGCGAGGATTCAGGGGACACGGTGAGGATGCCATTCTCTCCCTGGGTTTTGGGAGCAACGGAAGAGCTTACAGATCCAGCAGCCTCCTCCTGCTGCTCTCTGATCTCCTGCAGTGGGGAAGAAACTGCAGTTGCTGTAAAAAAAAAAAAAAGTTAGAAAAAAAAATAAGTCATTGTTATTTGAAATTCTCATCCAGTCGTGTGTAGGTTATTTTACTAACTGAAAACTAAAAAGGAGAACAGGTAAAGTTTCAACTTAAACAAAAACAAGTAAAGCAGACAAAAATAATACAACTGAAAAACAGTTGCTGAAAATTAATAATTTTCCTTCCACAGGACATGCATTAAAGTTACACTTTTTAAAAAATTGATAAAAACATAAATAAGCACATCAGGATATCATTACTCATAGCAAATTTTGTCAGATTTATCTCTTCAAGAATAAAAACACATATACACACAAACACGAGAAGAAAATAAAAATCTATCTGTTCCAGTATAAAATATTTTCAGCTTTTGATTTCTGTGCATGCAGGACGGGTGGCGTTTCCTCTAACTGGACAATGGGGCGCACACAATCACAGGAAAGTATGTTTAGAACCAAGTAACTTTATATTATCCAAAAGGGAAAAACATAAGAACTTGGATAACACAAAACCAGAAAACAAAATAAGTTTCTCCATTTACAAAAGGGGGGGGGTAGACTAAAATTTTGCCCAGTTGGATTATTAATTACCCCCAAGTCTCACAGTATAGAACTGGGACCATACCGTTTACCAACATCTGCACCACAAAGTAACAACCACTAGGAGGAGCAAGAGTCAAAGAAGTCAAAAGCCAGATGTTCATTTTAAGAGTTCCAACAGAAATTCCAATCAAATGCATTTAAAGGTTATTTTGTAAATGTACCATGACAAAAATTTAAAAAAATCTCAAAAAAACCCAAAATGAGCGAATAAGAGTCAAACCTTGTGCGTG